TGATCAATATTAGATTTATTTTGGCTACAGGTATAGCTCAGTGGTAGTGGTCCAATCCCCAGCACCAAGAAAAAATACATACATTTTAGCTTTCTTAGGCATTACAATGACAATGTGGTTATATAGAAAATCCTAATTCCTAGGAGACAACCTCTGAGGTATTTAGAGGTAAAATGTTATGATCTATACAAATTACTCTCAAGCTATTCAGAGAACAAACGTATGGGTGTGGGGTCTGGGAATGTAGCTCAGTGGTCAAGCTACATTTGCCTAGCACATGGGCAAGGCCCTGGTTTAATCTTTACTACAGAGAGAGAGAGAGAGAGAGAGAGAGAGAGAGAGAGAGAGAGAGAGAGACACACATACCCTGACACAGTACAGAATGCACATTTGGTAAAATGGTGCTCCCTCAATCTTCATTCCTTAAAAAATCACTTTCCTGGGGCTGGAAAGATGGCTCAGCAGTTAAGAGCACTAGCTGTTTTTGCAGAGGACCCAGGTTCGATTCCCAACACCCACGTGGCAGGTAACAAATGCCCCTAACTCCAGTTCCAGGGGAACCCGACACGGTTTGCTGACCTCCACTGGCACCACACAACACGGGTGCACTTACATGCAGACAATACACTCATACACATAAAAATAATTAATAAAATAATATCACTTTCCTGATAGCACCAAAAGTCAGGACCCACCCTTCTAAGTCGATCCTGCTCACCCTATTGGACTGAGATCAGAAACTAGAAGGGTTGAAGAGAGGACAGCAAAGCAGGGCAGCTCCAGGAGGTACCATTTCCCAGCACCCTGGTGAAAAGCAAACAGGCAGAATGTAATCCCTCTCCACTGCCCTGACAGTAATTCTGATTTACAAAATCTTATTCCATAGAATAGAGTCCTGAACATTTGATAAGCAAGGAATAACAAAGAAAACTGCACAATATAATGCGTGTCTGTAATGTTACTGACATCTTTTTTGTTGTTTGTTTTGTTTTGGGTCTCCTTGTAGCCCCAGCTGCCTAGAACTCACTATATAGACCAGGCTGGCCTCAGTCTCACAGAGATGCACCTGCCTCTGCCTCCTGAGTGCTGGGATTAAAGGTGTGCACCACCATGCCAAGCAACATCTTAAAAGAACTGTTTTATCTTTTGGGTCAGAGTCTTATTCTGTAATCCAGCCTGGCCTTGAACTCACAGAAATTTCCCTACCTCAGCTTCCTATGATAGGATTACAACGCTGAACTTTTTTTTTTTTCTTTAATGTATTGACTTTGTTGGGTTTCCTCCTGCCCTGTTTTGGTCCCTGTCTCTAGTTGTCAGGTCCCCAGCCACACATTTCCTGACCTTGGTTTCAGGACATAACATTCAGGGGTGGCAAACAGTAGTTTATTCAGTCCTATGGTACAAAATAACTTAAAAAAAATTCCATTTATTTTATGTATATGAGTGTTTTACCTGCATGTATGTAAGTGTGCCACATGCATACAGTGCCCTCAGAGGCCAGGAGAGGGTGTCAGAGCCCCTGGAACTGGAGTTACAGTTGTCAGCTGTCATGTGGGTGCTGGGCACCAAACTGGATCATCTGCAAGAGCAGCCAGTGCTCTTAATCACTGAAACACCTCTCCAGGCCCCAAGATAGCTTAGTTTTGTAATAAAATATACCATGTGCTTTTCTTTTTTTTTACAGTTTCACACACATAAATGTGATTGTAGTCACCTCCAGTACCTTCTGCCTCCCTCCTTCCTTTTCCTGTGAACCCTCTTCCCAGCGACTGTACCGTGAAGAATGATAGCCCCTCCCCCAGCAATCATTTGTTGTGAGGCGCTTCACCAGAGAAGACCACTCAAAAGCTTTGCTGAATGAAAGTCTTTGCTGATCAGCGACTACACAACAGTGTGGGAGCCCAAGTGTGTAGCCCCAAGTCGTTTCTAGAGTAAGCTTTTATACAAAGAAACCATAACCAGGGGTGAAAAGTTTAAGTTCCCAAGCTTGCAGGTACAAAGCCTGCTTTACAATTTCTGTTCTATTAAGCAACAATTACTATTTTGCAAAAGCAAGCCAAGCATAACCTACAGAAACCATAAATCTGCAGTTAGCAGGAGCACTCTGGGACACGCTGACCTGTTCCCAAGACAACTGGGGTCCTGCTGACATGTGTTCCCATACCCTGGACCATCTGCCTGATAATTTCAGAGACTAGAGTCAGCCTAAACTTTAACATGGTGTAGCTATGGTCAAGAAGGTGCCATATTAAACATTAACAGTAACAGAAATATTCTAAAATGAAATGGAGATCTTTTTTAAAGGTTAAAAACTCATTCAATTTTATGTCTTACAGGGCTTATACTGAGTTCAATATTGTTTAACTGTATTAATTCAACTGTGAACCTAGAAGCTTGCACCCACTTGTGAAAGTGATGTACTCTTGCTCTGGAGTGTGTCACTGAAAATGTTAAAGCTGTAGTGAAATGCTTCTTCTAATCATGTAGTTATTAAAAACTAAGTGTTTGCTTTCTGTAGAATGAACAGTAGTTCTAATATTGTGTTTATAATAGTGAAAACGAATGTACAGGAAAATTTTGTGTTAAAACCCGTTTCCTACGAATTGTATTCAAAAGAGTATTGTCATGAGTGTCAGTCTCTTTCTTTAGAAAAATATGTGTCAGTCGTTTATCTAAGTGCTTGCTTTCTGTAGAAAACAGTAGTTCTAACAATGTGTTTATTATAGTGAAATGGAGATCTTTTTTAAAGGTTAAAAAAATGAACAGAAATAATATTTGAGAAACCTCTACTGTTGTTTTCTTTACAAGTTAATATCCTACTTTGCATTTCTTTCCTCTGAGATTAATGTAGCTATTTTTCTTCTTGGAAAAAAAATAAGCAGTCTTCAAACAAATGATCACCTACACTGTACATAGTCAGTGTATCAAAGACAAGTGTGGAAATTTAGAAATGATAACTCAACGAGTATGTTAACGATGAGTTAGGCTAATATGTTGAATTAGGAATGGTGTTCTGCTGCACTTAACAAAAACCCAATGATTTGGGAAGGAAGAAAGAAAAGACAAAAGGCAAAAGGCCAAAGGGTCAAGGTAGCCAAGTTTTCCCTTCAGAGGATTTCCCTGAAAACTTACTCTCTCCAGCTAAGATAGCATAAAATGCCCACCTAACTGTAAGGCAAACACAGGAGTGGTGGTGGGGTGTTTTCTTTCTTTTTTTAAAATGCTGTGCATGACACTACTTCCAGCAACATAAAGACAGAATAGTGGAAAAGAAAATAGTTACCAGCCAACCATGATCATGTATTCTTTTCTTGGAAGAAATTATCTTTTTCTTTTTTTTCAAGATCATGCCTTCCCTGAAACCCAATGGTTATTATGTTCAAGATAGGTACGGTGGTATGCATCTGTAATCCTAGCACTCAGGAGGCTAAAACAGGAGGATGCAAATTGGAGGCTAACCTGGGCTAAACAGACGACCTCTTTCAAACAAACAAACCAAAATCAACAAAGTGGCTGGGGTATAGGTCAGTGGTAAAGTGGATGTTCAGCATGTGTGATGCTCTGCATTTAATCCCCAGCACTGAAAACAAAAGGCCTCTTCAGGAAGAGTCTGTGCTCTGACATGATCATTTGAGTATCATATTAACAGATGTCCCTTTCTCATTTCATACAGTGTTCCTACAGCCACCAAAGAGGTACTAGCCCAACTTCAACAGATTAAAAAAAAAACAAACTGAAGATTGGTTCTGATGCCATGTCTCTTATGACCCCAAATCACACACTCCATGAATGTGAGAAAAGGAGACTGTGAGATTCCTTCCTTGGAAGCAAGTAACATTTTAAATATTATAATTTGTGAATTGTATTTCACAAGTTCTCACCAAGTCCAAAGGGAAACGTTTCTGACTCCATTTGTACTTGTTCTGAAGTAACTGTAACTATAATTAAAAATCATATTCATCCACTCATTCAATCTTTATTATCTACCATATGTGCAACCCCGTGTTAAACGTTAAAGGAATACAAACATTAATTTTTCAAACAGTGCCATCTCTAAAGGAATAAGAACTGAATGACAGTGACAAGTAATTTAACATAAACTGCTGGAAGAAAGGATTACAAGTAGACACGTGCCCCTGACTGAGAAAAATCACCTCAGTAAAACACACAGCTACAGTTGGGACTGGTAACATACACACACCTTCATTACATAATCCTTTTTGAAGACTGCTGATTGTTTCTAGAAAAGGCAATGTCTTACCCTGCATCATTTTGAAGATTAGTGTGAACTTCCAAAACAAAAATTTGCCTAATGAGGAAAAATGACTCAAAATCAAATCATAAGCAGAGTTTGTGTACAAAGAATAAATTAACATTAAAAAATTTTAAATCTGAATTACTTTTAAGATTTTCCTTTGGCAAGTTATTATAATTTCAACATATATAAAACAAAGATAGTCTGGGCATGGTAGCACATGCCTTTAATCCCAGCACTGGGAGTCAGAGGCAGACAGATCTCTGTGAGATCCAGGCTAGCTTCATCTACATCCAAGTTCCAGGCCAGCTGGGGCTACAGGGTGACCCTGTCTTTAAAAGAAAATAAATGTTTATCTCTTATTACAGTCAGCATATGCCATAATTATTTTCACATTGAAAAGCAGCTAAAATTATTTTAATACTTTACCTATCAAAAATCATTGATTAGAGGGACAGCTCAGTGCTCAGAGCTAGAGTACTTGCTAAGCATGTGATTTAATCTCTACCCAAGATTTAATCTCAACCAAAAAAAAACTAGAGATAAAAAAGAAAAACTGGGAGGCAGAGGCAGGCAGATCTCTGTGAGTTCAAGGCCAGCCTGGTCTACATACTGAGTTCCAGGACAGCTGAGGCTACAGGGAGACCCTGTCTCAAAAAGACAAAAAGAAAAAAAAAAAAGAAAAAAAAAGAAAAACTGCCGGGCGTGGTGGCGCACGCCTTTAGTCCTAGCACTTGGGAGGCAGGTGGATCTCTGTGAGTTCGAAGCCAGCCTGGTCTCCATGGTGAATCCAGGACAGCTGGGGCTACAGGGAGACCCTGTCTCAAAAAGACTAAAAAAAAAAAGAAAAACTGACTAGAGTATAGATAATTTAAGAGTGAATTTTCAGTGCAGAAATTAATGTACTTTTCCAAGCACCTCTTTTTTTTTTTCCTGTAGCACACTATTTACTTTAAAAGGCTCAGAAGCCAGGTGTGATGGCACATACCTTTAATCCAGCACTTGGAGGCAGAGGCAGGCAAATCTCTGTGAATTCAAGGCCAGCCTGGTCTACATTGATCTCTGTGAATTCAAGTACAACCTGGTCTACATAGTAAGTTCCAGGCCAGGCAGAGCTATATAATGAGGCCCTGTCTCAAAGAAAGAAATAAAAGCACAAAAACAAAGATGGGTCAGAGAAGAAACTTAAAATACTTAGCAAACATAAAAGAAATCACCAAAGGCCAATATTTCTTTGCTTTCAATACCAAACTCTTTACCAAATATAAATGTCCATTTTCAGAACTAGTCAGTTTGTGACAGCTGTGATCCTCAAACACTTTTGAAATTACAGTCATAGTTGCAAATAGCACATGACAGCAATTAAAAAATGCAGTAGGCAAAGCTCTACTCTAACCAAATCACCAATCATCTAGATTCAGCCTTTACAGGTGATGTCTCTGTTCAAAAGCCCTGCACATGTGAGTGTTGTCCCCACAGACGTTCCTAACATCACAAGTGCAGGTGGTGAAGTCCTGAAGCTCCCAACTGAACATCACAGACAGCAAACCTCGCTCTTTCAGGTTCATTCTTCAACAGAATTTTCTTCTCCACTTTCTTCAACATCTTCGTCTTTTTCCTTGCAAGAATCCTGGCTGCTGGTGTCAATAAAATAGTTTTCTTCCTCATTCTCTCTCTCTTCTATTTTTTCTTCCTCATTAAAGCTAGAGGAAGAAATTTATCAATCTTTCAAAGGAAAAATGAGTTGGGTTAAAAGTTACACAGATGCTGTGCTGTGTACGCCATCATAGAGCCAGTCTTCCTTAAGTATAAGAGTTCTAATTGCTTATTAAGAAAACTCTATCAGGGGCTGGAAAGATGATGGCTCAGCGGTCAAGAGCACTGGCCGCTCTTGCAGAGGACCTGGATTTGGTTCCCAGCACCTACACTGTAGCTAACAACCATCTGTAACTCCAGTTCCAGAGGATCCAACCCCCTCTTCTTGCCTCCATGGGCACTGCATGCATATGGTGCACTTACATATATACAGGCAATACACTCATATGCATAAAATAGATTTTTAAAAAGTTTTATTTATTATTTTTATTTTATGTGTATGCATGTATCCCATGTTATGCAATGCCTGCGGAGGTCAGAAGAGGCTGTTAGATCCCCTGGGACTGGAGTTATGGACAGTTGTTAGCTGCCGTGTGGGTGCTGGGATCAGAACCCGGGTCTTCTGCAAGAACAACCAGTGTTCTTAACCACTGAGCCATCTCTCCAGCCCAAAATAAATAAATTTTTAAAAAGAAAAAGGAAAACTCTATCAAAGTGCTAAGTGGGAAATAAAATTCCTCTGACAACTGACAACTAATTTATTTCAAAACTTGATTTCTTAAAAGTTGAAAGTATGCTATTGTTTTTGTTATTTATATCAGTCAGGAACATAAGTCTGTAGTAAGATCAAAATATTTTATCACTGTATAATATATACACTGTGTCAAACACGATAAAATAACAGTATATTCTACAATAGTTCACATGTATTCCATCAGGTAACAGATTCAAAAAACCAGGCTTGGTGGCCCACACCTTTAATCCCAGCACTTGGGAAGCTGAGGCAGCCAGATATACATAGCAAGTTCCAGGCCAGCTAGGGCTACAGGGAGACCCTGTTAAACAACAACAACAACAACAACGAAAAAGAAAACAGAAGTGTATGCTTTCCTGCAGGTATGGTTTTCAGAGGGGCATGCTCAGACATCTTGCATATGTTACCTTTCTTTATCTGCAGTGCAGCTTTTCATCTGCTTGCTGATGTACTCAAATACTTTTCCACTCTGGCCTTTCTTTGAAACAAACTCATCAGAAATTCCTAGTGCTTTTAGGGTGTTAGAATAATGCTTTTCTGCTGCCATCCTTGCATTTTTCTATAGGAAGAAAGACAAACCTTTTCAGATGAGAACAAAGGTCATAAACTTCTATTAAAACATATGGTTAAAAGCACCAGTGAAAATGAGCCCCGCAATCACAGCTGAGTGAAATATGCACATTCTATGGTCAACAATTACACTTTTAGGTATGTTCTTAGAGAAACACACACACACACACACACACACACACACACACACACACCAGGGGACATGTATACGAATGTTCAAGATGTAAAATTATAGCAACTCAATACCAAACAATATTTGGAGGGTAAGATAAAGTATCTTACACAATGGAAAAACAGAAGAAAATGAACAAACTGTGGCTTCCTTCCACACCATGAATAGATCTTACAAATGTAATTCTGAATGAAAGGAGGCCAGCATAAAAGAACATCTAGTACCACCCAGTTATCTGAAGCCCAGAAACAGGAAAAACTAAACAAAGTCAGAACGATGGTTACCCCATAGGAGATGTAGAGGCTGTGATACGGGAGACGTGCACAGATACTGGGTGGTGGACACCTCATTTGCTTTTGTTTTATTTTGCTTTAATTAACTTTAAAATTTTATGTGTATGAGTATATTGCCTGCATGTATGTAAGTGCACTCCCATCGTGCAGTGCCCATGGAGGTCAAGAGAGGGTATTAGATTCCACTGGATCTGGAATTATAGGTTGTTAGCTGCCATGTGGGTGCTGGGAATCGAACCCAGGTCCTCTGCAAGAGCAGCCAGTGCTCTTAATCACTGACTCATCTCTCCAGCCCCTGTAGACCCCATTTGTTAACCTGCGAGGCAGCCACAGGAAAGCTGATTATAATTATTCTTTGCACTGTTATTCAGAGTTTATTTTATTTTATTTTTTTTTTTACTGGAGAGATGACTCAACCAGTGTTTTTAATCGCTGAGCCATCTCTCCAGCCCCCAGGCTTTATAAACTTTCATGACTACATAAAGATACCTGAAAAAAAAAAAAAAAGTAAGGAAATGGAGTACTAAGCCATACGTAATATAAGCCCAGTATTCAAGAGTTAGAGCTGGAAATTTATTTATTCATTTATTTATTTATTTATTTTTATTTTCTTGGTCTTTTTGAGACAGGGTCTCCCTGCAGCTCCAGCTGTCCTGGAATTCACTATGTAGACCACGCTGGCCTTGAACTCACAGAGATCCACCAGCCTCTGCCTCCCAAGTGCTGGGATTAAAGGTGTGCGCCACCACACCTGGCTTAGAGCTGGAATTTAAGGCCAGCCACATTTACATGAGTTCCAGGGCAGCCAGGGCTAAAGAGCAGGACCCTGTCTCCAAAAAACCAAACAAACTAAAATGTCAGTGTCTGACTACAGATCACGTGAGAGTAAAGTAAGATCACATGATAATTGTTGGTGATTTTTATTTGCCTACTATAGCCATGACCTTGGCCCATCGAAGATAACAAAATTATCAGTATTGCTGTCTTTACTCAGGGAAAGAAGGGAGGGATGCCTAGAACTAGATCCAGATCTCTGGAATGTCACTTCCTGGCTTGGAGATCTGTTGGGGTCATGGGATCTGTTCATAGTTGCAGCAAGCTGAGAGCTGGGGATATAGCTCAGTGGTAGAACATTTGTACTAGTATGCTCTGGGTTAGATCTCTAGTGCCATAGAAAAGACAAACAAGCAAAAAACCTAAATCTTGGGTGGGAGAGATGACTCAGTAGTTAAGAGCACTGGCTGCTCTTACAGAGGACCTGGGTTCAGTTCTCAGCACTTACATGGCAACTAACAACTGTCCATTAACTCCAGTTCCAGGGGAATCTGAAGCCCTCTTCTGACCTCTGCGGGCATTGCATAGGTGCACTTACATACATGCAGGCAATACACTCATACACATAAATTAAAAAAAAAAAAAAACCCAAACCTTAAAAAATATATAATAAAGCTGGGTGTGGTAGTACACACCTTTAATCCCAGTGCTCAGGAGGCAGAGACAGGCAGATCTGTGTGAGTTCAAGGCCAGCCTGGTCTATATAGCAAGTTCCAGGCCAGCTGGGGCTACAGGGAAACCCTGTCTCAAAGAAACAAAAACCAGCAAACAAAAAAAGAAAAGCAAGTAAAAGGCTGGGACAGTGACTCAGCAATACGCTGCCTGAGCCTGAGGACCTGAGTTTACGTAATAGCACCATATAATAGATGCCCAGTGCTGGGGAGGATGGAGAGGCAGATGAGATGACCCTGCAACTCACTGGTCAACAGGGCCAGGGGTATCGATGAGCTCCAGGTTCAGTGAGAGGTCTTGTCTCCAAAAATAAGGTGGACAGTAACTGAGGAAGATGCTCAGTTTTGACCCTGGCCTACAACACACACACACACACACACACACACACACACACACACACAAACCACACACACACACCACTCCACACACACAACACACACACCACACACACACACACACACACACACACACACACACACACACGTAGGTAAAAATGTATTCAGAAGCTGTGGAATACCAACAGACAAGGCTTAGTGAACTGAAAAGCAGGGCAAAGTGAGAAATGAAATCTATGCTCCAAAGACCATAGAAGTGAATGAAGAAAATCAAAGCAACTCTGAATTCATTAAGAATATATTCTGGGGCTAGGGATGTAGCTCAGTTGGTAGAGTACTTGCCTAACATGCATGAAGTCTTGGGTTCAGTCCCCATACCACATAAACCAATTGTAACACATACCTGTGATCCTAGCACTCAGGGGTAGAAGCAGTAAGGTCAGAAGTCCAAGGTCATCCTTGACTTCATAGCCAGTTCAAGGCCAGTGTGGGCCACATGAGACTGTATCTCGGAAAAAAAGGGCAGAAGCAGGTAGATCTCTCTGAGTTCAGGACCATCCTGGTCTACATAGCAAGTTCTAGGCCAGCCAGCCAGCCAAAGTTACACAGTAAGATCCCATCTCAAAAACAAACAACAACAAAAAGAAGCAAACCAACAAACAAAAATCAAAGACACAATCAAAGTTAATGCCAGTCAGTAAGTTTTCATCTGAATTTGGTTTAAAATTCGGCTTAACTCTGTGCTCCCAAGAACCAGGCCAAGGTTGGTTCTGCAATCAACCACAGGCACATTCTGTTAGAGGACAATTCAATGCAGGGAGGCCGCAATTAACTCTTTTTTTTCTGGTCTTTTTGAGACAGGGTCTCCCTGTAGCCCCAGCTGGCCTGAACTCACTGTGTAGACCAGGCTGGCCTTGAACTCAGAGATCTGCCTACCTCTGCCTCCCGAGTGCTCGGACTAAAGGGTGCACCACCACGCCTGGCCACAATTAACTCTTAGAAATGGGCAATAAGTAAGTTGCAATAGAATTTATTAAGTAACAGCTATTAACAGAAATTGTCATAGCAAAAGTTTAGACTGCAAGAAAAATAGCAGTAATATGTTAACAAAATCAAAACAATGCTGATCCAGTGCCCCCACTCACTGGATATAGAATTACCTTTTTGCATGAAGGCAAATAATCTATAATAATTTCTAATTTGAATAGTATTTCTCCTCTGCTCTTCGCTACACAAAAGAAATATAAAGACTATGAAGGGAAAAGCAATTTAAAGCAATTTTATGTTTTTTCTCTCTCAAAGATCCTGCCAAAAAAGGATTACCTTTGTTTCTTTCAGAAACTAAAACAACAGATGAATACCTGTCTATAATCAGTGTCCTTGCTCCAAGGTGAAAGATGCTTATTTTTTATCACCAAAGTTTACTTTGTAGTAATTCTTTCATACATTTAACAAATTATCTATCGCATGCTTATTTGTAACAAGCCCTCGTATTTGTAACAAGGCCTCATGGGGGGTGGCAGATAAGAGCTTCAAGGGAAGGGAATGGCTATGTGAGGGCCAGAATGGGAGGCTGTCAGCTACAAAATTGTTTTAACATAGCCACCATGGATTCTGTCACATTTTTCTCTGGTGCTTAGAAACAGTGGGAATTCATAGCACAATGAAACTGTTTATAATGCTGAGACTCATCACTAACATATCAGAATAGTGCTCTTAGCTGTGTTAAACCAAGAAAGAAAATGTAAGGTCTAGTCTGGCTACTTTTATCACAATTGTTTGGCTCACCAAATGCTGAATAACATTTCTATGCCAGGCATTACTGTAGGTACTAGGTGCTGGGACTACAAAGGTTTGGCCGTCATCCTTAAAGATCAGTTATCTAGCAGGGAAGAGAGGCTATCACGCAGAGAACTGCCACACACTGTGGCAGGAACAAAGAGACATGTACAGATTCATAAAAGAACACAGAGGAAAGGGCACCCAACCCAGCCTCAGGAACAGTGCAAGAGAGTGACTACAAGCTAATACTTAAAGGAGTGGGAGCTAAGGCAAGCTGGAGATAGGGTGTTTGGTAAACAGCAAGAATAAAGACTTCAAGGCTGAAGGTAGTTGTCTAATATCTGGTACAGCCTAAAGTAAAGGGCATAAAAGGGGACAATGAAGGGGATACTAAGAAACAGGCTAAAGAGGTTATCAGGATGCAGCTCAGTGCGCAGACTGCTTGCCTAGCGTGCACAAAGCTCAGGTTCTATCCCCAGCACCACACAAAACCGGTTGTGGTAGTATATACTTGTAATTCCAGCTCTTGGGAGGTAGAGAGGCAGGAGGATAGGAAGTTCAAGGTCATCCTAGGCTATATAGAGACATGGGGGTCTGGGATACATGAAACCATGTCTAAAAAATAAATCACAGAAGCTTTACACTGTGTTTGTACACTGCTATATAGCTTGGGAATTTTTCTTTTGGAAGGGAGCAAGACAGCTTAGGGTTAAGTGTTTGAAAGCAGATCAACTTGGGTTCTTTGAACTTCCTTTTTTCATTCATAATGTGTACCTCCCCTATAGCCCTGGGGAAGTCAATGACAAGCCCTTGAGACCGTCACTGAAAATGAGTCTGCATGGATTCCATGGGGATGGATGCTCTGCTTGCTGGACGGACTAACTGCTGCCCATTTGATAGGGGAATGGGAAAGCAGAAAGATCAGTTTTAAAATGCTTTAAATGTTAAATTTAGCCGGGTATGGTGGTACTCGCCTTTAATCCCAGCAGAGGCAGGCAGATCTCTGTAGTTCAAGGCCAGCCTGTTCTACATAGTGAGTTCCAGGACAGCTGGGGCTACAGGGAGACCCTGTCTCAAAAAAACCAAAAAAAAAAAAAAAAAAAAAAAGTGTTAAATTTAAAAACAGTAATAATAAAATAAAAATGCTTTTACGCTTAGGGCTGGAGCAATGGCTCAGCAGTTAGGAACACTTGCTGTTCTTTCTAAGGACCTGGATTTGGTTCCTAGCACCCACATGGAGACTCAAAACCATCTGTAACTCCAGTTCCAGGGGGTCTGATGCCCTCATCTAGCCTCTATGGGTACTGGGTACACATACATATATACATGCAGGCAAAACATTTATAAACAAAAATAATTTTTTTTAAATGTTTTTAAGAGACAGGGTCTCGCCGGGCGTGGAGGCACACTTGGGAGCCTTAATCCCAGCACTTGGGAGGCAGAGGCAGGCGGATCTCTGTGAGTTCAAGGCCAGCCCAGTCTACATAGTGAGTTACAGGAGAGCTGGGGCTACAGGGAGACCCCGTCCAAAAAAGATAAAAAAAAAAAAAAAAAAAAAAAAAAAAAAAAAAGAGAGAGGGTCTCACTATGTTGCATAGGCTGGACTCAAATTCCTTGGCTCAAGTGATCCTCTGTATCCATCTCCTGAGTAGCTGGACTATAGGCATATGTCACCACACCCAGTTCAGTCAAATTATTATAACAATTCAGACAGGAAATAACAGAACCAGGTAAAAATACTTGGGAAAAGCCTTGACAGGTCTCTCGGTGACCAATTCAGCTGGGGAAGAATAGCTGTCACTCATCTAAAGTATATCCCCAATTTCCAGGAGGACCTTGTTGGAGGAAAGGTGAACAGGAATGCTAGGGGGATTACCAGAGCGGTGGACATAGAAATTTGAAGTTTGGATCCAGGAAAAACTTTTTTAAGTCCAGAGTCAATCACTTTATGTTATACAATGTAAAACAGCTTAAAATGGGAGCTGGAGAGATGACTCAGTGGTTAAGAGCACTGGCTGCTCTTGCAGAGGGCCTGGGTTCAGTTCCCAGCACACACCTGGTGGCTAATACCCATCTGTAACGTCAGTTCCAGAGGCTCCAACAGCATCCTCTGGCCTTTGTGGGCACTGCATGACACAAGTGTGCTTACATATATGCAGGCAAAACACGCATTAAAAAAAAAGAAAGGTCAAAAAACTGAATTAAATTTTAAAAATTAGAATCTACTGTTCATAAGACCAGTTTGTTTTTCCTATAAAAAGGAAATTCTTTTAGTAATTGTTGGTTAGATTAAATTATAAATTTACTTTTTTAACACTGGCAGAAATAAATTTGATTCAATTAGCCATTTGATTTCATTTTTTAATTCATCAAAGATCTTCAAATGGTACCATGAAGCCTCACACAAATAACACAACCAAACTGATATTTCTAAAGACAGGTTGTGAAACTAATATTTGAGAAGTACTGTGTTAGCAGCGTGCTCTTTACTGAGCTACGTGCTTCATCAGACCTGAAGCAGAATCACTTCCTTGACTGGTTGATGAAGCTGCCACAGAACAGTGAGTCTCAATAATCATAGAAAACACAGGGAAAATGGAGGCTAAAGATACTGGAAAACACAAAGGCCACAGCTCTAAATTCCAATAAACACAACCTGAGCGACTCTTTCAAACAGTAGCGGCCTCTTTCTCAACTTCTCATCTCTGTCTTCCAGTTCCTGTTGGTATTCTCTCATCCTTGCCTTTTCGCACTTTCTAGAATCATATAGAAGGAATGGAGTTTTAAAAGGTCAGTTAAGGAAATTGCACATATAACATTTACTTTAGAAGACAAATCAGAGATGAGGACAGTTTAGCAAGGTTCCTTTTCTAGACTGATAAAATTCTCATGGAATACAGAATTAAAATCCCAGGTTCTGAAAGCATACTTTCTATTGCCCTGTCTGGGCGTCGTCTTCCAAAATATTCAAGGCATAACATAGAAAGAGGCCTCAAACTAGCCTGAGAAATGTCTTATTTATAAGTGTACAAAATCAAGAAAATGTATCCAAATTAGGTATTTTTAAATAATTTCATTCAAAAAAACCTTGCTCCTATTTTTCCCCTAAATGAGATTGCCTAAAGTTTAGCGGCAACACGAAGGGGGAGCAGGTCAGGGAGAAAAGGGGAGCACACGAATGTAACATGCACAGGCGAACAGGAGCCAAAATCCTCGAATGTACTGTAAACTAGATCATGTGAAGAATTAAATAAACAATACTGTTTCTCTCTATGTGAGATACACTAAAAACAACTAAGTAAGATGTCATGGATTAACATTCTGTATTTCTAAGGAACTTTTTGCTCAAGTTCATCACATTAAGCTCCCTCTATCAGTAGATTAACGCTGTATTATAAAGGATTACTCATTGTAATTACAAGCAAATATATATGTATTTGGTTCTTATAATCAGATTAAAAATTAACAAATCATATCACTCAGCTTTGGGAGAATTTCCGACTTAAACACAATTTTTTTTTTTTTGACACAGGTCTTACTATATAGCACTGGCTGACCTGGAACTCTCTATGTAGACCAGGCTGTCCTTGAACTCACAGAGATCCACTTGTCTCTGCCTCCCAAGAGCTAGGATTAAAGGCGTGTGCCACCATGCCCAGCAGCATGATCATTTTTATGTGCAACATTTGGAACACTGGCTTTCAAACTCTGTTTTGCAGAATTCCAGTATTCTCTCATCCTTGCCTTTTCGCACTTTCTAGAATCAAATAGGTATTCTGTAGATATTTTATTTTTTATACTGAAACTGTTACAAAGTGCAATATATAGCACAATGTATTAATTTATATCATCATATTTTGTACAAAGTTAGAACAAAACTCCTTGATTTATCTGTTAATTGAAAAAATTGGTCTGTGTTGGGGGTGAGGCTCAGTGCTAAAGTATATGTTTAGCATCCACAAGGCCCTAGGTTTAATCCCCAGCACATGCACACAAAATCTGAGATCACAGAGCAAGCTATTAATACAGAGATTTATCTCTGTGAAGCAAATTCTTCTCAATACTATACTGTGCAACCAAAAGTAATACAAAGACAGTTCCTAGCTCAGTGCTAGAGTGTGTGCCTAGTTAACATACACTAGGTTCTGGGTTTGACTCCCAGCACAACCGACATACATATAATAATTAACAGAGATTTATCTCTGTGAAGCAAATTCTTCTCAATACTATACTGTGCAACCAAAAGTAATACAAAGACAGTTCCTAGCTCAGTGCTAGAGTGTGTGCCTAGTTAACATACACTAGGTTCTGGGTTTGACTCCCAGCACAACCGACATACATA